GATGTTGCATTCAGATAAAAATACAAAACCATTTGAAGGGTCAAGATACCTAAAAGAGGGAAATTAATAAAATAAAGGCAAAGTGACAGGTATTTTATACCAGGCAGAATGAAACAAACTCATTATAGGATCCTTATGAGACAGATATTCAAGCTCTGAAACACTGTTTTGGATGACTTTGAAAAGAAGGGAAACAAAAGTAGTTCAGGTTAGGATAAATTATATGCTCGTTATGCTTACCTCAGCTCAAATTAATAAGCTTCATAACAATTCTGTTCCACTAATAATAATCATTAATCTTTATTTAGATCTGCTAAGCAATGTCCTAGGTGTTTTACATGCTTTAACTCATTTAATTATAAATAAAACCTTTGAGGAAAATATTATTAACATTTCCATTTTATAGATATGGAAACCTAGGTACAGAGGCATAGTGAAGTTGATAGTAAGTGAAAGAGATAGTTTTTGGTAAGCATATTTACCTACATTTAGCATTTTGTGTGAGGGCATTGTGTATTTAAAGTTAATGAAAAAACTCCATTTCTATTCTCTCCATTAAAAAATCAAAGTTCCTGAATTTTCCAAAGTCATAACATGCCACACTGCATTTTATTTTTTTCCTTGTATATAAAGTATTTGCCCTTTCTTTATCAAAAGACAAAAATGAACACATTCCACTGCTCTGGTTCTATCATTTTCAGCACTTTCTTATTCCACCATAATAACAGCTCCAGAAAGCAGGGCAATTTGGGCTGGCATAAAGGAGGCAGAAGAAAGCACTAAAATCAATGTTATTCAATTTTAGTTCAGACAGCAACATGAAGTAGGTCCTTTGAGCTCTTGAATAGTTACATCCCTAAACTTTGGGTTAAAGAACTGGGCTCAATATTCTTTCTTTCTCAATTCTGTATTGTTAATATCAAGTCTGGTCAACTTTCTATATGTGGGCCACAGAGTATGTCATGGAAAAGATTTATGGGCTTACAGTCTTTCACCTACAGGATTTGAACATACCTGAATTACTGCAAATTTCATGGCCAAGGAGAAGGAGCATCCATATCATTAGCTGATATTGTGTCTGAGAGCCAGAATCCCGTAATCCCCAGCTAATTTAAATCACAGCCCATTTGACCCCAGCCATAATGTATATCTCTGAGTTTTTATTGCCTGTGCGTTTCTCTTCCCTCTTAAACAAACTGCTGACTATGGAAAAACTTGTTTACAACATCAAATATTGCCACAGAAGTTGTGTTTGTGCCCTTCACAACCATTGATGAAGTATCTTAACCTCACCTTCTCTTATGCCTCAGATATGGTCATCTGTCTTCTTGACTACTACTTCATATAGCTTATTTATAAATTCAAACAAATGTGTTTCTGACTGGCACTGATACATCACTGATGCCAAAACATCAGAGAGGATGACGCCTAAGGACATATTTTTTGACTCAGATGGAAAATATTACAGATTTATGAGGAAGTAATGACAATAGCCATTCCGTGATATCTTCATATAATCAGTATCTTTCCATGCCTCTCTTTACCAAATTTTATGACCTCAAAACTTTTTTTTTAAAGTCTTATTTCTTTATTTTTCAGGTGGACAGTGCAAAACCCTTTGGTGAGAATAATTCAGAGCATTATTCACGGAAATCTAGAAGAAAAGCTGAGTTCTCAAATTTTCCATTTCCAATGAGAAGAGGTACTTGAGTTTTGACCTCAAAACTTACTCAAAGGAATTATTTTCTTGTTGACACAAAAGGCATAGTGGGTAGGTGTGAGGATGGGGTCAGTTAACTGAGCTCAGCTCTGGCTTTTCATGTGTTGGATTTCTCCCACTTTCCAATGACCACTTATAGAACTATAATGCACAGAATGTCTATTGATGTCCCATTGATATCGATGTGATTTCCCGTAGTGGATTGAGGGCAGCACAGCAAACAGCCATTAGTATCAAAAGGTTATGTATAATGGATAATAGAGGAAAATGAAATAGCTGAAGGAATTTGCACAGGAAACAGAAACAGTAAATAGTTTCAGTGAAAGATTTTACTTGTTTATACAGCAATTGCAAAGGGGGATTGAAAAAAAATGGTGCATCTTACCAACTCAGTAAAAGTAGAGAGTGAAATGGTTTTATATTTTGAAATATAATAGTTATTTATTTCAATGACAGAAAGCCATTTAAAATCACTTTGTATATTATAGTTCTTATGTGGCATCTGTCATTTGAATGCCCATTTATGAATTCTTACTCTATCCTCTTGAGACCCTCAGAAGTATGGCACTGATGAAGTAAAATGAGGAAGAGGTGTTTGCTGGTTTGTCCAAACTTCAATAATCGTTCAGTTCACCACAAAACCACAACAAAGTTGCAGTATTTGTAATAAACATCTCATTTTGAACCCATTCAAATCTACTATGTCAGCATTTAGCCAGCTGATTCTGTATTCCAAAAGCAGATCTCACAGTAAATGATGTCAAGAGCTATCTCTCACCAATCAAGCCATCTTAGCTGTCCTCACCATTACAGTGGGTGACCTGGTATATCTAAATTGAATGTGGAAGTTAATAAGAAAAAATTGCCTGGTAGATTTATTTAGTAGATGAAGAAGTAAATGAGCTATAAAGTTTACTTCAGTGCCAGAAGAACAGCAAGGACAAGCACTCAAGCTCAAGATCTTCACTTTTTAGTGATGTGACATCTTAATCTTAATGTGATCCCAATGTGACTTCATGACTTTGGCTGCCTCAGTTTCTTCATTTATAAAATAAATATATAATAAATAAAATATATAATACTGTTACCTACCCTTAAGTATGGTGAGATTTAAATGAGCTAATACAAGTAAAGTGGTTAACATAATCCATATTTTAGACAAACTTTTACTGATATGACTGGTATGTGCCACTGTTCTTGGGGCAGTGATTTAGCCATCAACAAAACAGATAGTTCCAACAACTTAGGAATTTTAATAGTATATAATAATGTTAAAACTCAACATTTTTAGGCTACTTAACCATATTTTAGACATGAATCCTAGTGCTTTAGTTTTAGTAACTCATTTAATTTTCACAACATTACTTATAAACACTACATTACATTTTATATTACTTTGGAAACCCATTTTACATATGAGAAAATGGGGACCTGAAAAGATTAAATAATTTTCCCAAGGTAATATGCCTAAAACATGTTAGAGATAATGAAAAGCCTTGCTTATAACTATTGCAGTATATTGCCTACTGGCATGCCAAATTGATATGCCATTGTTTACCCTACAAAGAAGACAGTCCTTGAAATTACTGAAATGTTGTACTTTCATTTATGAAATGAATATATAATCTGATTAAACAAATCACAGAATATATAATAAAACTTTTTGATACCAAATTTTCCATCAAAATGAGTCTAAAAAATAAATAGAATCTTAGTTTTCAACACAATATAAATCTAGTAATAAAGACTTTGCTATGATTTTAGATTTGTTTATACCAGGGTTAAGTTCTTTTATCTAAAATATTATTGTTCTATAGAGTGAAAGTTAATAGAAAATTACCCGTAAGACAAGAATGTATCTCCTAGTTAAACAAGAGCATTTCATAGGGCCTCTAGTATATTTAAACATCTTAAATTACTCCTGTTTTTGAATGCTTTCATATAAAAATCATCTTCAAGTTGTAGTGCTTTCTCATATCCACCTCCATTTCTTTACGAGTATTTCTCATTACAAGTTAGTACAAGTAAAACAAATAAATACACATGTTGGTTTATCCTGAAATGCTTGAGATAAATGACATTTTTTGATGCAGTATGGCATTAATATCCATGTGTGACAGAAGCATCATTCAAAAATCATTCTTATGTTGTGATGGAAATATAAAAACAAAGTTGTGAACATCAGCACAGGCTATGAGCCTATATTGTTGACATCATCAGTGATTTCCATATAGAATAACTCTGTGAATGTACTGATGACCCTCTGTTTTGTGATTCCTACATGAACTAGTTATGTGAATTTTCTTATTGCTAACATTTTGGATAAATAAGAATCAGTGAAACATACTTCATTTACAATTATAAAAATACCTAAATCCATTTTTATCTACCTTCCAGAATCATATTTATTGCATCTTGGTAGGTAAATTCCCCATCAATTATGAAACTAGATTAAACCTGAAAAGAAATTTCTAGTGACATAACTGGATAGATTTGTTTTTCCTACCTTGATATTTTATTCATTCTAGGAATAGTGCTGCCACAAAATACATGTTCCTTGAGTTAATTTACATTTTAGACTGCAGAACCACTCAAGCAAGGAAATTAATATTCAGTCAAAAGAAAATGCCATCCAGAAAAATCAATACAATTTGCTATCAAGTGAGGGCGACTTTAATCAGGGTGATTGAAGAACAACAACATTTGTCTTAAAAGTGTAAGGAGTGCCTTACGACTGTTTTCTGCTTTACCTTCCAAACATGGTAATCACACAATTTTGAGTCAATTCACCTAGTGAAAATAAGAAGGTATTTTTTTTTTGGTGCTAGTGTAAAAAAGTCTAAATTCTGAGGAAGAAATTATGCACCAGATTTTCTGATAGCTTCCAAGTAACTATTGTTTTAATGAAGTTTCTACCTGAAAACTCAATAGCAGCATTATTGTTTAAATATAATTTAAGAAGCTATTGTAGATCGGTACTTACGACTTCTAATGAGAAAACCATAACCACCTTTTAATTGAAGGGAAAATGGTTAACTACAGTAATTGCAATCAATACAACTATGTTAGTAGTATAAATATTTCTTCTCAAAGAGCATTCCATAGTCTTCTCAGCAGTATTTAAGGTTAGGAAGTGAAAAAACAAAAAACACTAATTAGAAATCCGATTGTTATTTATAATACTAAGCCTTGGTCCAAAGAGAGAAACGTCTAACCCCATCACCAGTAAAACAAGACTTTGATTAAGAAGAAAACTGAGGCATGGAAAAAAAGGGCTTACCAATCACATAGGCTAGTAACAAGGCCAAAGTCACTGTGATTGCAGTGGCGCTCAAGGCTGTGCACTTCCAATTGCAGCACCTATAAGGTTTGTTAAAGGTAAAGGCAGGCCTGGAAAAGGTGCTTCGAGGAAGTGGCCTGGGAGGGGGTGAGTACACGGTATTGGATGTCAGAGGGTAGTTCTGACTGGCTGCACTGAAGATGGCAGAGGAACCAGATCCATGTTTGAACAGGAAATGCCTGCAAAAAGGAAACAGAAGTTTGGGCTATAAAAACCAAAGCTATTTACTATAAAACCATAAACTCCACTAATTTCAAACAATTGTGGTGTAGGACATTGCTATTATCCAGGAAGTCCCCTTCTGTCTTTGCTAAGGAGATCCCTGTCTTCATCACCAGAGACAACAACCACTATTCTTCATTTTGCCTCACCATGCATTCATTTTGCCAGTTGCAGAACTGCATGTGTATACAGTCATGCTGCTGTCATGTTTACATTAGTACAGGATGATTATTGACTGGTCATGACTGTTATAATATGGGCCTTTCATAAACAGCAGTGACGTATTCGCATGGATGCTGTTGCAAAAATAAATAAATGAAAGTATAATTTTTGTGCATAGACTACACTTACTGAGTGCTGAATACTATGTATTGTGCTAAACACTAATTATTTCGTTTATTCTTCACTTACATGATATAGGCTATATTATTATTATCATTGTTTACTTAAGGAAATGGAGACTTAAAGAGGTTAAGCAACTTACCCAAATTCACCTAGCAAGTGAATGAGAGTCAAAGTTAGAACTCGGTTAATCCGAGCTCCAAAGTCCTTAATATTAACTCCTCTGATGTGCTATCTGGCAGCAAAATGCACTGTTCAACAAAGCACATTCTAGTATTGTTTTTAATACATAACACAATATCACTCCACTGGGCAAAAAGGTCAACATCACCTTGTACATGTAACATACAGTTAAATATATAAATCATTAACATCACTTTTAAAAGTTGTATTTATTTTATTTATTTGAAAGGCAAAGGGAGAAGGAGAGACACAGAGAGATATTCCATCTGTTGGTTCATTTCCCCAAGTGGCTGTGACAGCCAGAGCTGAAGAGAGGATCCTGGAACTCCATTCAGGTCTCCCACATGGGCCCAAGCACTTGGACAATCTTCTGCTACTTTTCCCAGGTGCATCAGCAGGAAGTTAGATTGGTAGCAGAGTAGCCAGGTCTAGAACTGGTGCTCTAACATGGCATGCAAGAGTCCCATGGAATGCCTACATCACAAGACCCAACCTCATTAAGACTGACTTTTAGATTCGTACTTAAATAAAAAATATATGTACTTAAGGAAAACAACAAACTCCACATTCCACTTAATGAAAAATATCCATCATCTTTTTTAAAGTGCTGGGTTGCTTTAGAGAGTGCAGATTCACAAGGCTTTCTTTGACACAATAATTATACTTATAGAAATTTGTTCTCAGGAAATGATATATTTGACAGTATACAAAAGAAGTCATTTATAACATTGTCATTTTAATTAATAGCACAAACTAAACACTCAAATGCTCAACAATTGGTATTTTACTAGGTAAATTATCTTACAAACACATAACACTATACAATCATTATACATTGTGTTGCAAATGAATATCTATTCACTAGAAAAAAATGTTTACAGATGTTGCTAAGTTTAAAAAGGCAGGCTTCCAAAGAGTATGAGCAATAGAATATAATTTTCTAAAGAAAAAATATTTACCTTCATTGAAAAAATAAGAACTGATACTATCTTTGGGTGGTAGAAGTACTTTCCGAACTTTTCTGCTTTGAATCTGTCTAAATTTCATAACTAAAATGAAAAAGACTGGTGGGTCCTAGGACTGGAAAAAGTTTACTGAACAACACTAACCACAGGAATAGTTGGTTCTACTTAGATAGGAATGATTTATTGATCACCTATAAGGGTCACACACCAAATAAATAAATTTATACGCATTATTTTGATATTCATATGTCTGTGACATTGATACTATTATTCTAATCTCAAAGATGACTGAACTGAGACCTAAAGAGATTTAATAGGAGAAAATGACAATAACAGTAATTACCATAATATTGATAAGAAGTAACATTTTGGTGCTTCCTTGTACTAGACATTCTTCTAAATACTTCACAAAATATTATATCATTTAGTCTTCACAATGACCTTCCTACAATCAGTATCTTCATTTCAGAGATGAGGAACACAAAGCACAGAAAGTCTAAGTAACCTGTCCAGGGTTCCACAGCTGGTAATCAATGAAGCTGAATTTCAAACTCTCTTAACGTGAGTCTAGAGGCCTTTCTCTTAACCAATACACTGTAGTACACTATACTAGGGTTATGCAGTTAGTAGACACATTCATGAAGATTTTGAATCCATGTCTGCTAAGGCATAGAAGAAGCATATTTTGTGATTCTTCTTTGAGTTTTCTAGTGGATGTTGTTGAATTGAGCTGCACTAGTACCCTGTTCACTCTGGGACTGATGACAAGAATATTAAAATGAATGCTGTAGAATAAGTTAGAAGGGACCTTCAGAAATCATCTACTATATGAATTCTCTCATTTTGCAATTAGCATGACTGAAGCCCAGGGAATGAAAGCGACTTAGAACATAGCAAGTTAATGGTATGGATAAAATTGGTATATAGGACTTCCAAAACAGTGTATTTCCCCTGTCTCATGATACTTGCCACACATACTCTTCACTGGATTAGCACTGAGTTCTAATAACCTGGGTTAACAGACCCAGGTTCAACAAATACTGTCTGTTCAAACAGTACTACACAATACTGTATTCTTCTGGGTGTAATCTGTTCTTACCATAAGACTTAAAAAGTGTCTAAACTATTTAGGATAAATGGGTGAGCATTATAAAGAAGCTACCCTTTAGTTGATGAGAACCTAAAAGAGTTATTGTTGCCTCTAAAGGCACCTAATTTATCACCTGAATGAAAGGACAGTATATAAATAGTAGTAAGAATAAATGCATTTTATTGAATGAGTGACTCGTACCATTGTGCTCTTACCTTTTGATTATGCTTTCTCTTTAAGGCTTTGAAATAATCTCTTTTGTGTCATAAAGAGGTGGATTTCTTCTTTAATGTTTACTTAGCTCTCCCAGCCTGTGTTTTCCCCTATGGCCATCTAATTTACTAGTGAGCAAGAAGGATAGTGCTTTACAAGCTGCATAGTGGGGTAGCCTCCAAATTGCCTCACCGCTGCCCTGTGGTTATTTTGGAAGTAACAAAATGCCACTTCTGTATAACTGATCCTATATAGCAACACCCTGACGTATTCCTATGGGATAAAGGAGAAACTCAGCAGTATGGGTCTTTTATTCAAAGTGTGGAGATGAAATCTTCAATCCTTCACATAATTATGAAGGAGAACAATTGGATTTCTGAGACAATGTAAGTGGTCCAATATGTTGAATATTGATTCGGTTTGGTATATCATTAAGAGGTAAAAGAAAGACAAGGAAAGATAGTAAATTGTTGGCTATTATGATGGCAATTACAAGCAATAATCAATATCCCTGAGCACTGTAATTTCATCCTGATGTACACCAAAGGGTTTCCAAATGCAGTTTCATAAGTGAAATATTATAGCATAATGAATAAATTCAACAGTCACAGCAGAGAAACATTTAAGCTAATTCATATTTGAGTGGAATCAAAATCACAGTCTTCAGTGCGGGTAGATAATAAAATGGATTCCTATACTAAGGTTCTTATTCTCTTATTAGCAAGCTCAGATTAAGATTCTATGATGAAAGTGATCTATATTTTGATGTGCATCATGAAAAACAGCAATGCAAATGCTGCATATTTTCATGGGCTTTGCAGTCCATTGTTGAAAGTGAAACTAGTGGCTCAATGTGTTTTCATAGTCCCTGAAAAAAAGTAGAAGCATAAAGACAAATGCACTGTGCTAGTCTCCAGCTATGTGCTCATAAAATCAGATCATCTGGCTAAGCACATTGCTTTTCCCTGGGGACGTGAGGATGTACTAAAATGTTGCTATCAATTTTGTACAATTGGGTTTTTTCCACATAGAAAATGATAAAAATGCAGTTCAAGAGTTTATGTGTAAGTAGTACTCTTCTTTGCATCTGGTTTAATATTCAAGCTCAAATTTAAAAAGGAAAAGCAAGATATTGCAAAAAGGAAATGGGGATATAAGGAAATTGAAAAAAAAAATATGTTCAAGACTGATGAGACCCAGAGGTGGTAAATGGGAATATAATAAATATTCTTGTAAGGACTTTAAAATCATCTATAAAGTGTGGGGAAAGGTATTCTATCTTTTAAAATCCTTCATACAACAAAATTCTGGGCATTTCTGTTAGAATTAAATTTAATTTAATATGGCACTTAAAATGCTATAGGAAATTGATAGAAATCTGTATCTTTCTAATAAAAGATACATAAATAACCAATGATTTTTTCCTTTATATATTATAAACATTCTATATGAGACACATACCTAAATCTGTATTCTTTCAGTTATAAGAATCTGCTCATTTTTATACCCAAAGGGAAGAATTCAACTTGCTTCCAGTAGAAGCTGTGGTTGACTAAAACAAAAAGAAGGCACCTATAAGCTCATAATGCCAATTTACATGGCAAGAATACCTCCTTTTTCTTTCTCTTCACCAGCAACTTCCATTCTAATCTCTGGTTCTATGATTTTGCCTATTTCACATATTTCATATACAGCAGAATCATATGTTGTAGCATGTAACAATATTTCTTTACTTTTTAAGGCTGAATAATATTCCAGTGTGTGTGTGTGTGTGTATGTGTGTGTATGTGTGTGTATCACATCCATTTATCCACTGATGGATACCTGGATTGCTTCCCCCTCTTGGCTATTGTGAATAGTGTTGCTACAAACATGGCTTTGCAAACATATCTTTCAGATCTGCTTTCAATCATTTTGAAGAAATATCCATGGTATTTGTCCCTTTGGGACTGGCTTATTTCACTCAGCATGATGTGTTCCAGATTCCTCCATTTTGTTGCAAATGACTGGATTTCGTTGTTTCTTACTGCAGTATAGTATTCTAAAGAGTACATATCCCATAATTTCTTTATCCAGTCTACTGTTGATGGGCATTTAGGTTGGTTCCAGGTCTTAGCTATTGTGAATTGAGCTGCAATAAACATTAGGCTGCAGACCGCTTTTT